TGTGCTTGCAAATTTGGTTCAATTAATACTGGCTTAATTAGCTTGAAACACAAAAATTAGGAGTTTTTTCTGTCATTTTGTGGATTTTCAATGAGTTCCCAGTGGCACAGTCTGCCCACAACTTTGTGAATTCCTGAGAGACACCTGGGGTGGTGAAATCAGTGCTTTCCTGCCCTAGATTGCCCAGTGACCACCCCATGACAGCCCCAGCTCAACCCAGTGCCAGGGAAAAGCCTTTCAGCGCTGGCAGCACCAGGAGGAGGGGTTGAGGTCCCCCAGGAGAGCAGCACAGCCCAGCAGAGGACACACCCCAGAGCTCCTCGTGTCCACTCCAGACTGACCATTGCTCTCAGCCCTGCCAGGTGTTCCCTGGGTTGCCAGGCCTGTCCTGTCTCTGACAAACAACACTGGTGGCCACTGCAGCGTTCCCGGGCTTGGACTCCTCCTGCTCCTGTCCAAGGGCCCCTAAAGCCAGGGGCTCTGTGTACCTTGCTCTCTGCCTTTAGGCCATTTGATGGTCAGCTCTCCAGGGTTTAAATCCTTGCTCTACACACCAACCTCCCCCAAAAGTTTTAGGTGAGCTGCAGGTGACATCCCTTGACTCCAGTGCCTCAAACTGCCCCAAATCCTGTTCCTGCTGTGTGCTCTGGGTGACCGCCCATGGGCTGTTTATTCCCAGAGCCAGCTGATCCCTCCTCTCTTCCTGCTCAGGATGTCACAGCTGGTCAGACTTGGGGTGCAGGATGGATTGGCAGGGCTGAGACCAGGCAAAGTGGGGGAGCCCAGCAGGGAAAAGCCAGCTGGGAATCCGGGCTCCCAAGGCATCCCTGAGGGGCAGAATGGGAAATCCAGCTATCTGACCCACTGCTGATGACAGAAATAGCAGTAGGTATTGTTATAACACTTTTATAGATCCAGGTGTGATAGAAGCCTTCAGGCAGTCGGGGGAGCAGAGACCTTCCCCTGCTGGGAGCTGTGGAATCCTCTGATGCCAGAAGGGTTATGAGACCCTGGCACAGAGCAGCTGGGGCTGCCCCTGGATGCCTGGAAATGTCCAAGACCAGGTTGGATAGAGCTTGGAGCACCTTGGGACAGTGGGAGGTGTCCCTGCCCATGGCAGGGGTGGCACTGGATGGGCTTTAAGGTTCCTTCCAACCCAAACCAGTCTGGGATTCTGTAAAATTCTGTAAAACCCACAAACCTGGAGAGCTCAGAGCAGTTTCTCACCCCCTTGCACTCCACTGGACCAAGGGAACTGCTCTGCCATGGAAAGATCATCAGCTGTTGCAGATAAATTAAGTCCCTTAATCCCTTAAATGTCTCCAGGCTTTATCTCAAGATGGAATCTTGTAAATTTGTGCTGCATGGATCCTCACTAAGCTGCTCTTGGGCAGTGCCAGGGGTGGGTGATGTGCAGGTGAGAGGCAGGTGCCCAGTGTGACAATGGCCAGTTCCTGTGGCTGTGGCACTGGACAACCCCCAACCCAGCCTGTGACCAGCACAGAGTCCTGGAACACACTTTGCTTGCTTGCTGTGATGTGTGATTGTGGGTGAGTGTGGAGAGTCTGCAGCCCCAGATTAGATTAAGATTATTTGTAAAGGCTTTTTCTTTACATATGTTTGCCCTTGTGCTGCACAGCTGTAGGCAAAGCCTCTCTGAGCTGCTAATCCCCTGCACAGCTGTGCAGGCTGATGTGCTGCTCCTGCCAGGCTGGGCAGCCCTGGCAGCTCAGAGCACTCTCCCTCCTGCGTTTAAACTCCAGCAGAGCCTCCTGCTGAGCCTCCAGTGTTTCCACGCCCTTGGACCCCTCCCGTGGGTTTGGACTCCAGGTGCATCCCAGGTGCCTTTGGGTTCTTCCCCCAGAGGTGCTGGCACTGCCCAGGCTCCCCAGGGAATGGGCACGGCCCCGAGGCTGCCAGAGCTCCAGGAGCGTTTGGACAGCGCTGCCAGGGATGCCCAGGGTGGGGTTGTTGGGGGGTCTGGGCAGGGACAGGGGCTGGACTGGGTGATCCTGTGGGTCTCTCCAGGGAGGATATTCTGTGATTTTGTGATTCTGTAACCTGACTCTGAAAAGAATTCACAGAATCACAGAATATCCTGAGCAGGAGGGACCCACAGGATCATCCAGCCCAGCCCTGTCCCTGCCCAGACCCCCCAACAACCCCACCCTGGGCATCCCTGGCAGCGCTGTCCAAACGCTCCTGGAGCTCTGGCAGCCTCGGGGCTGTGCCCATTCCCTGGTCACTGGGCCATGAACTCTCCTGTGCTGGTTTGCAGATGCTCACGTGGGGCTCTGTGACCTCCTGTTTGTTCCTTGGTCTCTGGCATCTCTTCCTCTGGGTTTGCCAGGATTCCTCAGTGATGCTTTATCAATTCATCAATGGCTGCTTGAAATGAAACATTTGCTGAATGCTTGAGATTGGACTCAGCTTTGGGGTGGTGCTGAGTTATGCTCTGGTTTAAACTTCAGGTGAAAGAAGAGTGAATATGACACACAAAATATCAGTGAGGTTCCTTCCCTGCATCCACAGAGTCATTAACTTGGATATTAAAAAGGAAAAGGCCTCCAAGATCAAGTCCAACCTTCAATTGAATCCCACCATGGTCACTACACCATGTTCCCTATTGCCACTTGTCATTCTTTCACTATTTCCAGGCATTGGGACTCCACCACTGCCCCTGGCTTTCCTTGGCCAAGTTCCTACACTCATTTCTCTTTCCAGACCCAGCTGAGAGCTCTCCAGGGAAATCACAAGCTCTTGTTAAAACACACAGGTGACTTTGGCAACTGCTGGCCCAGCTGAGGTGAGCCCCGAGCCTGGAGTCCCCCTTAGGCAGCACAGCCTTGCAGGAAAGGTTCTTTACATCCCAAGGGTTCGGAGAATGCTCTGTCTGTGGGGATTGGAAGAACAGGATGTGGATGACTGTGCCTTGCTGGGAATGGGGTGTCCTCTGGAGCCTTCGGGAACCTCCAGCTCCTGTGTCCTGCCCAGGGGCACTTTGCCAGGTGGGGTTTGGGCAGAGCAGTGCAGGGATGAGACAGCTGCAGTACCAATCCCTCCCTGGACCCTCTGTCGATCCTGCCGGCCCTCTGCACAGGAAATGCACCTTTAAATAGCAGAGAAGCCCCCTTGAGGCTGTGCCCAAAACCGCGGTGAAAGAGGCTCCATCTTTCCTTCTCTGACAAATCAATACTGTCCGGGCACTGGAGACCCCAGCTAAATGAGGTGATAATTACTAATTCAATAGTCAGAATAAAACTCTCAGGCTGTAAAGAGAAAGGCCACTCCCTCTCGAAGGTGAATACAGCAGTGAACAGAAAGATAGGCTGAAATACAATCCAAGAGTTAGAGCTTAACAGTCTTCTCAAAAGGCTGAAGGCATGTCTCAGTCTCTTCTATGTTTGTGATTTCTTAGATCCAACAGCTTCCTGTCGAAACCAAAATTTGTTGCACGGAGAACGTTGATAACTAAAGTTCAAGTGCTGCAGTCAAAATCTGTCTCGTCTTCTTGTAAAGCCCTTGCAAAAAAACCCCACCAGCAACAAAAAGAGTAGAAATAAAGCTGAGAAATGCAGCATTTGGAGCCAGAAAACGAAAGCTAAAAGCTGTGGTTGCTCTGCATCTTAATCTGACTGCCCTGGCTAAGGTTTCCTTTTCCATTAGTGCATTATTTAGCAGCTAAAATGTAAGAGAGGATGGGAGCTGACAGGGAGAGCCTGTTCTGGAGTGGTTACAGGGCTGTCTGTGCTTCCCCCTGTATCCACAGGGCTCACTCCAGGTTTGATGGATCACCGGGAATGAGGGCTCGCCTGGGGTGGATGCAGCAATTGAACACCGGGATAGGGTGAGAAGAGACAGCCCCGACCCACGGGGGTGCTCGGGCTGTGGAAGCTTTTAGCTGTGGGAGGTACAGCCCGTCCAGATCCCAGCAGGGTTTGTCTGTCCTTCCTGAGGCTGGAACTCCTCCCATAGAAGAATCACAGGATCATAGAATCTCCTCAGCTGGAAGGGACCCACAGGAAGGGATCCTGTCCCACCCCAGGCCCTGCCCAGACCCCCCAACATCCCCACCCTGGGCATCCCTGGCAGCGCTGTCCAAACGCTCCTGGAGCTCTGGCAGCCTCGGGGCCGTGCCCATTCCCTGGGGAGCCTGGGCAGTGCCAGCACCTCTGGGGGAAGAACCTTGCCCTGCTCTGCAGCCTGAGCCTGCCCTGGCCCAGCTCCAGCCCTTCCCTGGGTGCTGGCCCTGTCCCAGGGCTGAGATCGGAGCTGTCCTTCTTCTTCCCCAGGAAAGTTCTCCTGTGGACACCTCAGCTCCTTCTCTCCGTGCTGTGCTGTCCCTGGGAGCTGAGGAGTTCTGGAGAACGATCCCAGGACGAGGTGCCATTTGTCACTCTGGAGATCAGGGGACGCTGCTGTGCCAGCTCCCATCCGTGCTGGCCTGGCCTGACCCTCCAGCCCTCACCGTGACCCTGCAGCCAGAGCTGAGGAGGGGAACTGGAGCTCCTGCCCTTTCCTTTTGGTGCCTGGCACATTCCCAGCCATTCCCAGAGCAGCGGCATCCCTGCACCGGCTCCATGTGCTGGGAGACAGAGTCCCCAGTGCCAGCACAGCTCTGCACAGCCGCTCTCCTCACTGGGCTCAGCAGCAGGACAGCTCCTCCCGTGCCTCCTTCTCCCCTGGAAGCTGTTCCTCCCTGGCTGCTGGGCTCTGCCAGCCCCGCCAGGCAGTGCTGGCATCGACGTGCCCCGCTATTCATGGCCCCATAAAACTGTTTTATGGTGATATAATAACCCTAAATATGGCACTATCGGCAACAGAGAGTTCGTAGTTCTGAGTGCTCTATCCTCGGTGAAATAAATGCCTCCCAGTCATCAATAGAGGAGCTGGATGGAGTCAAGTAAACAGCAGCTTTTCAATCCCTCTCCTCGCTGCAGCTTCACAAGGTATCAATATATCTATTGGAGTCCTTTGTGAGCAAGACATAAATCTGGGCGTTTGTTTGCCGGGAACAAATGCTTTATTATTAGCAAATTGTAAAGCAGGGGCGAAGCACTGTGCTAACAAGTGCCCGATCTGCAATGCTAATGGCAGCTGGCTGCAGCTCACACTCACGCCCCTCCTGTAAACACCTCCGTGGGAGTGAGCAGCATCTCCCGGTGACTGATAGCCCAGCCTTCCCCTCCCGCTCCTGCTGCCGCTTCAGCTGCCGAAAATAAGCTCTGCAATCGCTCCAGGCCTGGCAGACGAGCACGGGGAAGAGCTGGGCAACGCTCTTCACTCTGAGTGGCAGTGGAGCATTTTGACATCTTGCCAGAATTCCTGAAAAAGGAAGGGGGAAAATCCATTTTGTTTCCTTTTTTTTTTTTTTTTTTCCAGGCTGTTGTTATCAGGAGTGAGTGGGGAGCTTGTGTTTGCCAGGAGCCGTGAGGCTGGCAGGCTGCTCACCACCCATTTGGGGCAGGGAACGCACTGGGAGATGTTCTGGACGTGCTGCAGGGCTCTCCAAAATCCTGAATGATGGGGAGAATGATCAGAGTGATCATTCTGAGTGATCAGAGCCCACTTCAGGACCTGCTGCAGTCAGGACACCTGGACCAGGCTGCCAGGGAAACCCCAGAGCACAGGTGACACCAAGAGCTGTCAGCAGCTTTGGGATCTTCCCCAACCCCACCCCTCCTTCAGAGGTGCTCAGCTCCGCCCTGGTTCAACAGGGAAACCCCCTTGGTTCCCGCCTCCCTGGGAAGGGGAACAGCCCCAAGGCACAGGCACAAGATCCTGAAACTGGAGGTTAAGTGAGGTTCCCTCCTGTTTTCCCATTTTCCAGCGCATCACCTTCCTGGTGTGGGAGTCAGCCTAGCCACGAGCATCAGATATTCCATCCAAGGGGAAGGAGTGCCTCCACCGTGAGCTGAAGGGCTGGGGGGATGCTCAGCCCGACATAAAAACTTCCCTGTGCTCCTGGAGCCCATCTTCCCTTCCCAGTGACACACACACTGCTGCCATCCCAGGCACACTGCACCAGTGTGCTTTGCAGAGCTCAGCTACTCCCAGCAGCTGCTTGGGAGCACTGCAGAAGGCACCCACCACCCACTCCTGCCAGGGAACAGCAAACATGGCCAGATATTTGCAAGCTCCATTGCAATGCTTTGAAATAGCTTCTCAAGTCAGTTTTGGTAAAGCTCACAGTGATCTTCCCCACTCTGAGAATGTTTTATGTATTTCAGAGCACTCTGGCACACGCACACAGGAAAGTGCCCTTCAGAAGTGGCTTCTCTGTTGCTTTAGGGTCGAGTTGTTCATGTGATTCACAGACCCTCTGGAGCTGCAGGAAGAGCACCCCCAGACACCAAAAGTCCTGTCACACCCAGACAGTGATGCAAGAGCTTCCCAGCCTGTGGTTTTCCAGAGCACAGCCCCTCTCCACAAGGCTCTGCTGGAGCACAGCTGAGCATGGTCCCTGCAAGAGCAGGAGACAGAGGAGCTCCCAGGGGCCTCCTCTTGCTGCTCTGCTGGGAACTCAGACAGTCACAGGTGGGACCAACCAGACACACACACACCTGGGCTCCTGCTTAGTCCCATTTTCCTGCCCTCTGCCCATTCTGAGGTGAGTAATTGCAGGTGAGGAGCTGAGGCTGGGGGGGGTTGAGCCTCAGCCAGGCTCCTTCATGGTGTAATGGTTGTCCTTGGCTCCCTGTCCTTGGCATTGCAGCCCAGGGGAAAATAGAAGTGGCAGGACTCTGAAAGGTGAGAAAGGCATGGGGTGGAGGGGGGGTTCATCTGCAGAGGCTGACAGCCATTGTCTCCTCCACTCCTGCCCCATTCCTGCCCTGCTCCCTGAGCATCACTCCTGATGCAGAGATGGAGCTGGGCCTCAGCACCATGGCTCCATTCTACAGGAAAAGTCCCTTTCAGCCCTGTCCATCTTCCCAGGGATGCCCAGGGTAGCAGCACATCTTCCATACTGTCTCTGCCTCCAGCACATCTGCAAATAACCCCAGAGCTGCTTGCTCAGCAAAATGTCAGGCTGGACACCAGGAGGAATTTCCTCATGGAAAGGGCGCTCAGGCCTTGGCAGGGGCTGCCCAGGGAGCTTTGGAGTCCCCATCCCTGGAGGTGCCCAAGGAAGCCCTGGAAGTGGCACTCAGTGCTCTGGGCTGGTGACACGGTGGGAATCAGGAACAGGTTGGAATCAATGACCTTGGAGGGCTTTTCCAGCCTCAGGGATTCTGGGATTCTGTGAATAAAGCCAATGTTCTCACTTCCAGCAGACTCTGGGCAAAGCCTCCAGCCCTGCAGGAATCTCTAATGGAGAAAAGAAGCCAAAATTGCAGTTCCTGCAGCATGGAAATGTCCAGGGCTGTCTTGCCTGGCACCTGCAGCAGTCTCAGCCTTGTGCTGGCTTTGCCTGATGTTCCCAGAATCTTATGGATCAACTCACAGAGCCCATGGCAGCAGCATTGTGCCAAGCCCTGCCAGCGCTGCCTTTGGAGGGGACAGAGGTGACAGCGGAGCACAAAGTGATGCCCTCTCCTCAGCCTGTCATTCCCACATTCCCGGCCTGTCCTGTGCAGTTCCTGCCTGCCCCGATCCCGCATTCCCGGCCTGTCCTGTGCAGTTCTGCCTGTCCCGATCCCACATTCCCGGCCTGTCCCGATCCCACATTCCCGGCCTGTCCTGTGCAGTTCCTGCCTCCCCCGATCCCACATTCCCGGCCTGTCCTGTGCAGTTCCTGCCGTGGCCGCACAGATGGCGTCGGGCCGGCCGGGTCACAGCCACCAACACCCCAAAATTCCGTGTTTGGGCAGCGCCCAGCGCTCCGTGACCTGACTGATTGCTCTCCATTTCCTGCTCAGCGCTGTCGCTCTTAAAATCCACTTCAGCGCTGCCCGCCACCATCATCTCCTGCTGTTAAATCCCTGTTCCGTGCCATCCCTGCCTCCTTTGCCATCCCTGTCTCCCGTGCCATCCCCTGAGGGGCTGTGCTGCTGCCTCTGGCCCTGCTGGAGACACTGCAATGTGCTCTTTGCTCTGTGCTCTTTGCCCTGTGCTCTTTGCCCTGTGATCTTTGCCCTGTGCTCTGTGCTCTTTGCCCTGTGCTCTTTGCTCTGTGCTCTTTGCTCTGTGCTCTGTGCTCTGTGCTCTTTGCTCTGTGCTCTGTGCTCTGTGCTCTTTGCTCTTTGCTCTGTGCTCTTTGCCCTGTGCTCTGTGCTCTTTGCTCTTTGCTCTTTGCCCTGTGCTCTGTGCTCTGTGCTCTTTGCTCTGTGCTCTTTACTCTTTGCTCTGTGCTGTCCCTGCACCGCTGCCCTCCCACCCCTGCCAGGCTCCTCTGTCCCTGCCAGCTCCCCCCAGGGCTGCCCCGCTGCTTCCTTGAAACTTGTCCTGTACTTTACTTTGAATGCAGCAGGGAGTCAGAATTCCGCCCACTGTTCCCTTCTATTCTTGGCCCTCCGCTTCCCTCACCTCCCAACCAAAATCTGTTCTTCTTCTGAAAATGGCTTTGGTTTTGTGACGGCGAGAAAGCAGCTCTCCCACGGGGGTTGTGGGGCCATGGGCTGGCACCCCCGGCTCCAGCAGCCCGGCCCAGGGGCTGCCCTTGCCCTCCCTGCCCCCTCTCTCCAGCCACGCTCGGTGCCTGTGGCAGCAGTTCCGAGGCTCCTCCGATCCCCGTTTGTCGCGTTTGTCGCCTGCCTTGTGCCAGCGCCACTGAATGTCCGGGTATTGGTGCTGGCAGTCAGCGCCGTGTCCGTGTTTTCCTCCCTTCGTGCCTGCGACTGCCGGGCGAGGCGGAACGCGCTGTTTGTCCCCTTTCCAAGTGTCTCTGTCGAATCAACAAGAACAAATTATTCATCTGCTGCGGGAGGCTAATTGCAGACAGCCAGGAAAGAGGAGATAATGTCGTTGTGCAGGAATGGGCAGCGCTGGCCCTGCAGGTTTGGAGCACGGGTCAAACCCATGCTCACACCTGAGCCACGGCAGCCAGCAGCCTCTGGTGGCTTTGGGGTCCCACTGGCAGGGACACTGCTCAGAGAGGCAGCAGCACAGCCCCATCAGCTCCAGTCCAAGCAGCTCCTGCAGTGCCAGAAACCTCTCCAGCTCACACCCAGGCACATCTGTAACACTGCACCAGCTCCCTGAGCTCCTCAGCCTGCACCGGGGGGAATCCTCAGGTGCTCTTCTTTGAGGTCTCTGCAACACAAAAACCCCCAAACCCGCATCCTTGTGCTGCCATTTTACATCCTTAGCCAAGAGGTGGCACAAACAGCAGCCCCAGGACAAGCAGGAGCCTCATGGAGGTTCCTCCAGTGCAGGAATGTGGAAGGGTTTCGTGGAGATGTGCTTTGTGTGCCATTCTCACAGCATCCTCCAGCACTCCTGGTGGCACCTCAGCTCCACACACAACATTCACCCTGCAGGAGCAGCACGGCCTGGGTGTCCTGAGCCCCTCCTGGAGGCCTGGCCAGCACAGCCTCAGGAGTGCTGGTCCTGCAGGACATGGCAACCACAGCGTTGGATTCCCAGCTCTTGGTGCTGCTGCCAGGGCTCTGAACCAGCAGCTGCTCTGCAGAGAGTCAAGTTTTCAGTGAGAGGAGCTGATTTCCATGCAGCCTTCCCACAGAGCTGCATTCTGTTTTCCTGCAGCCTTCTGTCTTTTCCTGAAAACCACTTGCTTTAGGAAGCTATGTGGGCACTTTGCTTTTCCTGGGGACACTGCAGGAGCAGTTCTCAGCTGCCACTTCAGTGCCTGCACTGCTCTGTGCAAGGGTGGACGATGGAGGGGCCACCAGGCCAGGAGGGTTTGGGAGGTGGCCTTATCCCAGGAGCTCTTCTGGGCTCAGGCTGCTGCCAAAAACCACACCTCCTTCCCACTGTACTCAGTATTTTTTTCCAAAATACTCAGTTCCATGGCTTTTATTTGCCACTTCCCCTGTGGAAGTGGGTGCCCAAATGTCCCCCTGCTCTTTTCTAGCAGAGCAAAGCCATGGCTTCGACAGGGATGTCTCTAAAGCATTCATTAAGAGCTGGTTGAACAGTGCTGACAACATTTCCTTAAGGTTGTTTCTTAAAGCTGAAATAGTTCTTGTAAAGCCTTGAAAGTTCCAGCACATCCCCTGGAAAACCTCTGTGGTCCAGAGCAGCAATAATGCCCCAGTAATTCAGTGGTTAGTGAGCAGGGTTAGCTGGGCTCTAACACCAGCAGCTCCAAAAGGCCAAACTCTGGCATTTGCTGGGATCATGGGAGTTTGGGACAATAACTGCCAATCTGGATCAAAGACAAATCCACCAGATCTGAGCTGTTTGAGTATTACTGCACTCTCCTGAATGTAGAGGAAGTTTCAGGGCAGAAAAAAGGTTTGAAAAAGTCCAGGTTGCCACAGATTCTCTCCAGGTGATGTCTGGGGTCAGGTTTAGTCTAAAACCTCCTTGGAGTGTGAGGAATACTTTCGTTCTCCAATCTTCTGCCCAGTCTGGCACGGTCAGTACTGGAGAATTTTGCTCTGAATTCTGCCCTTCCCTGCAGTCCTATGTATTACATTTTCAGGAAAACACACACTAGAATTGTATTTACTCATTTAATTCTAACCAAAGAAGACAATGTCACCTCATACCTCTATGTGAAATGCCTCAGTGTGCTCCAGTTCCACTCTGCTGCTTTCCATGATGAGGCTGAAGACTTGGGACTGACTAAAAGGGCTAAAAACTGAAGAGTCAGACTGGCACCTGTAGATCCATGGGGCAGAATGACAAAGGTGCTTATACCTGGCTTGTCTCTGCTGGAGATCCTGCCTAGGAGGACCCAGGAGCAGTTCAATCCAATCTTTGCAGATAACTGAACAAGAAATCCCTGCTCTACCCCTGCTTCCCATCTTGCACCTTCCTCCAGCTCCATATGTTTCTTTTTTCCATGTGCAGGTTTTCTGCTCTTAGCCAGTTTCTCCAGCAGCAAGCCCTACCAAGGGCCCTGCCAGTCCCAGATTCACCAGGGAGCTGTGCAGGGGCTGGGACACCAAGTCCCTCACACCCCCCAGGCACAGCCTGCTCATGGCACCCCTTGCCTGGGGCCAGGGGGGCTCCTCCTGTTGTGCCCCCAGGGATCCTCAGGCTGTTCTTGGGGGATCTCCTTCTTCCTCAGGGCCACTTCCTCCTCCTCAGGCAGTTTGGAAGGTTTCAAAGGGTGGCTGGGCACAGGTCCTGGTGCATCACACCTCACCCAGCCCCTGCAGTGCCCTCACCCAGGACTGTCACTCTGGTGGGCACATCAGTGTGTCCCATATGGGCTGATCCCATATGGGCTGTGATTTGCCTCCAGCCTGCCCTGCTTCCCTATGCCCGTGTCTTCTCCTTCCCCCATCCCCCATCCCACCTCTGCTTTGCTTCCTGCTCCAGGGTGGCTCCTTTTCATCTTTGTTGATGGCAACAGCAAAGGGGGAAGAGTCCAATTTTTGGCCTGGAATAGATTTACCTTTGGTTCCCCTGGACAAGCCATGGAGCTGGTCCATGTTTGGTGGCAAATCCCCATCAGTGGGGGGAGAAGAGCTGGCCAGGTGTTGATGGGACACCCTGATGTGTCTCATCCCTGTGCCTGCCCCAACACAGCTCTGCTCAAGGTACATAAGCGTCCCCGGAATCTCTGCAGGCCCTGGAGATTTTCAAGTTAAGACATGAGCTAGAGGAGTAATCCAAAATGAATAATTTATTTTGGTGGATTTTCCTTCCCTCTGTTTACAGATTGTCTCAGAGCAGATTGCAGCTTTCGCACCTCAATTCATTATTGGAAACTATTTGCAGATAGTTCCCGGTCTGCAACTCATTTGCTAACTCTGCTGGGAGCACTGCAGATCTGAAATCAGAGCTGTTGTGACCGGTCAGGTGGTGCTGCCATGCTCTCATTCCTCTGTGAGATCTCAGTGATGCTTGGGATGGGGCTGTGAGGGCGGCTGCTCCTGGTCACAAATTCTGTGCTCATTTTCTGCCAGTGCTCTCCAGCAGCTTTCCTACAAGTCCCTGCAGCTGCCAGGACAGCCAGGGGCCTCGGGAGAGGAGGAGTCAGACTTACAAAAATACACAAGGAAATGGAAAACAAACAAACAAACAAAGTGAGGAGGAGAAGCCATCTCCCAGTGAAGGCAGAGGAAGTGTGGGCAGCAATCCCAGGCTCCACCCCAGTGGAGACATCCTTGGATTGGAGGAAAGCACAAAACTGAGCCCTCAAATAACAGCAGATTCCACATGGATTGCAGCCCACCCCAGCATGTGCTGCCCCTGGGAACAGCAGAGCCCCTGGAACCCTGAGCTCAGAGCACTGACAGGACCTGGAAGGTGACCCCAGCTGGATCCCACCGCTGTGGCTGTGCTGAGGAAGAGGAAACTCTTGTAACAGTGACAAAATAGTAAAATAAACCACAGATCTTTATTTGGAAGCTTCCAGGTGTCCCAGTAGTCATGGGCACACCTAGTATTGGACTTTTACAATTTTTATAGATTTAACAAATTAGCATATCTAACAAGTATTGTCCAATTAGAAAAGCAGTTGGTAAGGGAGTTTTTCCCCCAGGTGCTGCCCCCCTGGAGCTGGTCCAGGGTTTCTTTGCCCCACTTCTCATTATGTCTTCTCAAATTCTGATGAGGAAAATGGAATGTTCTTCTTGTCGGTCTTCCACTTGGAAATAAGACTAAACAGTTTTTCAGGAATATGTTAGAAGGTTAGCTTCTGTCGTGGTTTTAAGCATGACAGCTTCTTACTCTGAAATCTAAGAGAAAGGATAAGAGAAATATCAGGAGCTATATAACCAAATATCAGTGATCTACAGATTCACAAATACATGAAAAATACGTAAAAAACAAAAGTCTTCAGGCATCCACTGGGCTGGAGCAGCCATTCTTCAGCTGCTGCTCCCAGGACTCTTCCCACTCCTTGCACTGTGTCCAGCACACTGCTGGTGCTGCAGGGACCCCCAGACTGTGCAGGATGTGCTCACCAGCTGGGACTGAAGGGTGCTGCCAGGGCTTCTCACCCTGAGAAGCTGCTGGGTCTGGATCCTGTGTGTCCTGGAGGTTTGGCATTCAGTGGGGATGAGAGCAGCTGCTGCAGAAGTGGAGAGGCCACGGCTGTGCTGGGCCCAGGTCCCTGGGATGGCCTGGGGGACACTCAGCATTCCCAGTTCAGCCTAGCCTCCAACACCCATGGAATGCACAGGGCTCCCCTGGCCCAGCTCCGTGGAGGAGCAGCTTTTACTGTCAGGTCTTCAGTCAGATTTTGCTGCAATTCTCCCACTCGCCTTGGCTCCCCCTGCATGTGCAGAATCTCTGGGGTGGGTTGGGCCCAGCTGGGTGTCGGGTGCCCACCAAAGCTGCTTTATCAGGTCCCTCTGCACCTGGAAAGGGGAGAGAAAATAAAGGGAAAGGTAAACACTGGGATAGATCCCTCCCTGGTCACCATCACAGACACAACAGCCTGAACCTGGGAATATTGACTGAATTTATTATAAAAAATCAGAGCAGGACAATGAGAATAAAATAAATCTTAAAAACAGCTTTATCCCACCTCTCCCTCCTTCCTGTTCTCTCTGCTCTGGAGCCAGGCTGGGAGAGCTGGAGGTGCTCACCTGGAGAAGAGAAGCTCCAGGGACACCTCAGAGCCCCTTCCAGAGCCTAAAGGGGCTCCAGGAGAGCTGGAGAGGGACTGGGGACAAGGGATGGAGGGACAGGACACAGGGAATGGCTCCCACTGCCAGAGGGCAGGGATGGATGGGATATTGGGCAGGAATTGTTCCCTGGCAGGGTGGGCAGGACCTGGCACAGGGTGCCCAGAGCAGCTGGGGCTGCCCCTGGATCCCTGGCAGTGTCCAAGGCCAGGGTGGATGGGGCTTGGAGCAGCCTGGGACAGTGGGAGGTGTCCCCCAAACCATTCTCTGCCTGTTCCCAGCTGCTCCACAGTCAGTGCAGGGTGAGCTCAAGGCAGCTCCAAGCCCAGTGCCAGCCTTCAGCCAGGTGAGTCTCCCCAAGGCTGGAAAGGGAGCAGCTTTCTGCAAGAGATGCCTGAAAACATCTGCAACCCTTCCTTCACATCCTTCTGAAGGATTCCTGGCACATCCCAATCTCAGCAGCACCGCCAGGACCAGGTGGGAACCTTTTACAGAGGGGATTGATGTGTCAGGCTGGAGCGGTGCTGGGATGATTTACAGGAACAACTCGTCCACGCCACCCCCATTGCTCAGGCAGGAGTGGCCTGAAATGTGAGTGAAATCACGGAGCAGGAGCTCCAGGGCCATCATTCACTGCTGGGAGAGGCAGCAGCCGGGGGATCGCTGGCAGGGCAGAGGTGGATGCACTGACAGAGAGCAAGCTTTTCTTTCCCTGCTCTGCCCAGCCAGGCTCTGGTGCAGTTTTTCATGGCAAGAGGAGCAAAGCAGCCCATGGAACACCACAGACACTCAGTGCTTTTCCCTGAGCTAACGAGGTCTGTAATGAGCTCAGCAGCCAGCAGAGATGGAGTGCCCTGCCTGCTGGGGCTGGAGCCAGGCAGAGCTCACAGCAGGGCCCAGGGTCAGCCAGCAACTCCCTGCCATGTCCTGTGTCCCTGCACAGGATCCAGGGCTGGCCAGCCGTGCCTCTGTCCTCTGGTCACTGGGCTGGCCCTGCCAGGTGCTGGCTGAGGTGCTCTGGTACCCAGGGCACAACTGCACAACTTCAGGGGAGAAACCAGACCTGGCACACCCCTTGTGTGAGCTGGAGAGACCCACAGGGATCATCCAGTCCCCGCCCTGCCCCTGCCCAGACCCCGCAGCAACCCCACCCTGGGCATCCCTGGCAGCGCTGTCCAAACGCTCCTGGAGCTCTGGCAGCCTCGGGGCAGTGCCCATTCCCTGGGGAGCCTGGGCAGTGCCAGCACCTCTGGGAGAAGAACCTTGCCCTGCTCTGCAGCCTGAGCCTGCCCTGGCCCAGCTCCAGCCCTTCCCTGGCTGCTGGCCCTGCCCACTGCAGAGCAGAGCTCAGTGCCTGCCCCTCCTCTTCCCCAGGAAATTCCTCCTGTGAACACCTGGACTCCTTCTCTCCGTGGTGCACTTGCTGTGGGAGCTGAGGTGTTCTGGAGAGCAATCCCAGAACCAGGTCCCACCTGCCACAACTTCACATCAACTACTAATATAGTTTTGTGTAAAGTATCTGTTTTTTATTATAAATATTTGGTTTGTGGGTAGCATGATTCAGTATTGGTACTCTGTTCTGCTGGAAGAGTCACTCTGCCAGCACAGAACTTCTCTGCCCACTGGAGTGCATCAGTTCAAGTCCTGAAAATGGATCAGGAGCTACTCTGGGTGCCTGGACAAGTTCTGTCACACAGATCTTTCTCGTGTGCTCCCCTGGCTGAAGAGCCCTGCTGATGTAGAGCCTCCCAGAGCCTCCCAGTCTGCAGGGGCCGTGTTCCAGCTGCTGGAAATGTCCAGAAAAGAGCCATGGTCTCGGTGCATTCACAAAAGTCAACAAGTAGAAGGTGTCAAACATAAACCTTGTCAATAGTGCAGTGATGGTGGCTCTGGGGAGCCCTTTCTGTTCTGTATTTGGGAGTCTGCCCCATGGTGTGCCCATGCCTGGCCTCAGAGCAGGTGGAGGCTGCTTTGAAAAGATCTCCTGGTGTCTCTGAAGGGTGGCTCTTACAGAAGGATGGTTATCCCTGGAGCAGGTGACATTCCATCAGCTGCTGATTGCCCAGACTGCACTGTGTGCCCACATCTCCTGCCAGAACTTGGCAGAGACACAACACAGAGTCCCAGGATGCTCTGGGTTGGAAGGGACCTTAAAAGAGAATCTTATCTCCCTTCCACTAGAAAGAGCAGATAACCTGGTCTTTTGGTGCCCTTTTTCTGCCTCTTTGCTCCTCTCAGAGATGTCTTCAGGTGCTCCCAGCCACATCAGACACAGGACAGGTGCAGCCACAAGGCCATGGGGGAGAAAGGTGAAAAGCCTTTACTGGACCAGAACAAGATACACTTTATTCAATATTGGGATTCAGGAGTCAATTCCTTTAGGCTCTATTAAAAAAGAAAGAGGTGGATATGAGCTCAGCAAAGGGCAATAAATTCCATTTCATGTGCCCTCTATATTTCCCCACATCCACCTCTCTTTTCAGTGCCCACAGGCCCAGCAATGGGCCCCAAATCCTTTGGGGCTCCTGTGCTCACATCCCCAGGATGAAGAGAGCAGGGAGGCACTTTGCAAACAACACTCCCAATGCGAAGGAAGAGAATTGATCCCGGTGTGGTTAAGCATTAGGTAGAGATGAACATGTAATTATCCAGTCAAAGCAAGGTGTCTTCATCCCGAGGAGCTCTGGCTCCCCTCCAGAGTTACTCCCACCACAAGAGTGGAGTTACCGCAAGAGTTACTCTGAGCACCCGGCTCCCCCGGGAGATCTCCAGCTTGGGAGACCCCTCCTTCACCCAGCTCTTGCTGGACACCCCCTTGCCACATGGAGATGGGAAGCACAGATGTCCAGCAGGAGGCACAGAGCAGAGGCAGTTCCCTGTGCCCTGTCACAGGGGCCTGGAGGCAGAGCTGGCCCGAGGACACCCAGGAGCATCACTGCACGCCAGGGTCACAGCTGAACGCTGCCCCACGGTGACCTCTGTGTAACAACTGCTCAAACAGCCCATGGAGGTGCAGGAATCTGCGGGAGGAGTCAGCCCCAGCCCTGTACAGATGTGCTCTCTCCGTTTCCAGATTAACCTTTCAGAAATGTCAGCCGCTGCCTCCCTGGTACAACCTGGAATTTTCGGGCTTGTGACTAGAGCTTCAATTAACTCCTTCAGTGCTCCTGCTCACCTTTCAGCCCTCTCCCAGGAAATTCCAGCTCCAGGGTCCTTTCTTCTGCAGCTGTTTGGATGCCCTGCACGTCAGTGACCTCTGTCTCCTGCTGTTCCACTCGGGATGGTGGAGTCAAAGGGCACTGCTGAAACAGGAGTGCTGGAAGGTGTGCTCAGGAGGGAGGAGCAGTGCTAGCTGGGCTGCAGGAAATGCAGGGCCAGGGTGGGATCATCCTCCCTTCCAGATGTCCATAAACCAACAACAAAGTGTGCTACAGCAGATTGCACAGGAATGTTCCTTGTCTCTTCTCAGACCTCACCTATCCTGGCATCCCCAGAGAAGCCTTCTGTTCCTTCAGAGCAGACCTGCCATGGACTGGCCCAAGCACCCAAGAGTGACCCAAGTGGCCCAGCTGTGGCCCAGCTGTGACCTGTGGGCACAGTGCTCCTCTGGCAGCACATTCATTAAGTGCTCTCCTGTTCCTCAAGTGCATACAGGCTTCCTGGACAATCCAGGATAGGCAGGACACAGCTGGGAGTCACCCAGAGCAAACCCCCTCCGAAGGGAGCAGGCAAGGCAGAGGGGGTAGAGGTTGGGGGATGCCTGAGCTGGGCTGGAGGTGTGGGAAAGAAGAGGATTAGGAAACCACCTCTGCACTCTTGCATTCTGGAGGCACAGAAAGAGAGTGGCCAGAGTGAGCCCCCTGCCCTCCTCAGGTGCCACCTGCCCTCTCCAGGCTGGAGGAAATGGCTGCAGGCTCTAGGCTGTACAGAACTTCACATCTGCACAGTTCCAGGGTGTCTGGACAGTTCTCCTGGATCATTTTCAGGTGGGGTTTCAAGGACCTAGTGAAGTGGCACCTTGTCCAGGGCAGTGGAATTGGAACCAGATGAGCTTTAAGGTCCCTTCTAACCCAACCCATCCTGTGATCCTGAGCCCAGGACCTTGGGCCAGCTGAGGCTGTTAGCCCAAATAAAGCCCATAGTGGATAAATCACCTCCATCTACCCCGAGTGTCCAGTTGGGTGCCTTTGGTTCAGTTTTTTTCCCCACAGATGATTGTGGGCTCAGTGTGAGGCCTGTGGGTGTGGTGAGAGGGATATTGCACACAGGAGAGACTGAACCCTGGCTCACCTTGCAGTGATGCCTGCATGGAAAGGTGGAAACTGGGCAGGTGTTGCAGAGACATGGCTGTGACACCAGCCCTGAGGGCAAGCTGGAAGAGATGGCCACTGTTGGGCTGACAAACCATAAGTGAGGAATGAAGGTTCAGTAGCATTTCTACAGCTGGTGTACACAGGTAAACAGGCGCATTGTGGGATGCCAGAATGGTTTGGGTGGGAAGGGACCTCTAAGCTCATCCAGTGCCACCCCTGCCATGGCAGGGACACCTCCCACTGTCCCAGGCTGCTCCAAGCCCCAGTGTCCAGCCTGGCCTTGGACACTGCCAGGGATCCAGGGGCAGCCCCAGCTGCTCTGGGCACCCTGTGCCAGGGCCTGCCCACCCTGCCAGGGAACAATTCCTTCCCAATATCCCATCCATCCCTGTCCTCTGGCAGTGGGAAGCCATTCCCTGTGTCGTGGCACTCCAGTTCTTGATGAAAAGTCCCTCCCTGGCTTCCTTGTAGCCCCTTCAGACCCTGGAAGGTGTTGTGAAGTCTCCATACAACCTCTTCTCTTCTCCAGGCTGAACAATCTCAATTCCCAGCCTGTCTCCATAGGGGAGTGGCTCCAGTCTCCTGAGCAACTTCATGGCCTCCTCCAGACCTGCTCCCAGAGTTCCATGTCCCACATGCTGGGGGCACCAGGACTGTATTCAGAGTTCAGAATGGGGTTTCACATGCATACAGACATATCCACACATTGTCCATGGACCTGGTGGCAGATGAACCTCTGACTAGCAGGGACAGAGCTGCCACCTCCCCATATTGTGGATGTTCAGCTTTCCCCGGCACAATCCTTCCCTCCTCCTTTCCCCACTGAGCAAATGAGTTCACTTAATAAAAATCCACCTTTCTGCTTCCCAGATGGGATGGCTGCAGATGGGATCTGCCTGTGCAGGAGCCCTTGTCCCTCCAGGACAGGGGAGGCTGCCGGAGGGCTCAGCAGGATGGGAACCCAGCTTCACCTGATTCAGCTACAGTGTAACCCTCGTGCTCTTTGGGTAAACTGAGGCAAGCTGCTGTTCTTCCTGCCCGCGGGAGAGGGATTGATCCCAAGGGGCAGAGATGGCGAGAGGGCTCAGCCACAGGGAAGAGTTCTCCTTCGGGCTGTACTCAAAGGGCTGTCTGACATCCTTCCCTCGGGAAAGCAGCAGCTCCGCACCCTCAGCAGCCGGGTCTGGTGAGGAAGAGGAGGCACCGCAGGTTCGGATGTCTCTCGGCGCCTCTCCGGTGCGCAGATCCAGAGCAGGGGAAAACACCCGC